TCTGAGCTGCCAAGCACACGGGGTTGGAGTGCAGGAGCCAACCAGTGCCACAGCACATCCTATTGCTGTCCCCCTCCCTGAGCCCTGGACTCATGAACCTCAGACTCTCTGCAAATAGGAACTTTGTGAAGTGCTTTGGGAGGACCCTGCAGGGGGAACAGCCTGTTTGAAAAATCAGACTAAAATCTCCTTTTCTCCCCCAGTGAAGATCTCCTTGGAATACTTCTTAGTGCCCAGGGTGGCTCCAAGATTCCCTGCACCCTCTCAGCACTGGGTATGAGCCATGTGCTGCTGGAGATGAGACTCTAGACAGGGGTTTTCTTGTGAGCCACTGGCTCTGCACAAGCAGGGGGGACCCCTGGGGGCTGAGGTGGTTCAGGTGGGCACTGAGGTGGTTCAGGTGGGCACTGAGGTGGTTCAGGTGGGCACTGAGGCAGAGCTGTGGCACAGGTGGTGGTGGACCAGGGCCCTGTGAGTGGTGCTGACCCTCAGGGCTCTGTTAGACCAGCCCCTGGTGGTGGCTGAAGGAGCCCAACCCTTGGCTGTGCATTGAGAAGGACCCCCAGGGCTCACAGAGACCTCCCAGCCAGCTCCTCTCCTCTGGCCAGAGCTGAGGGGATTTTTGCTGGGCTGTGTTTTCCTGGCAGTGGGAGCAGCAGCACAGTCCCTGCAGGCAGCCCAGCCCCTCCCCTGTGCCTTTGGCTCTGCTGCTGTTCGAGTGTGACCATCACAGCACAAATTAAGCCACAGTGATGGTGAACACAAGCTGTAACCACCCCAGGCTGTGCTGGGCAGGTGGGGTTTGGGGTGTAACCCCTCGGTCTGAGGGGGCCAAGAGGGGAAAGGAGCGAGGACAGAGCTGGGCAAACAGCCTGGGGCTCTCACAGCACTTTCACTCTACATTCATTGGCACTAACACAACCTAAACTAGCAGCCCTTGGTGTCTTTAAAACAAGTAATTCCTTTCACTTAATAAAATAAAACAGCTTAAACTAAATCTACTGCAATTTAGTTTCTACAACTGCCTCTAATCACCTGTGACTGGAACTACGTCTGTGTCCTCCCAAAGGTGATTTCTTGGGAGGAAAACACCCAAAAGAGCACTGGGTGTTCCTGTTGGGGTGTGTGGCTGGTCCCTGTCCCTGCCCCACACCCTCAGTGCCACAACTTGCCAAATGCAGCTGAAGTTTGGGCAGAGACCAGAGCCTGTGAAACAGCCACCCTGGTGCCAGGTACCTGAGCTGGGGCTTCCTGGGAGCCCCTCCAGGAGTTAGTGCTGACCCTGATGGTGTTTGAAACCTGGATTTTCTCTGGGGGTCCTTGTGCTGCTCCCAGTGTTGGTGCCCTGATGTGGCCCCTGGACCCTGTCCGTGCTCTGTCCCAGGGGAGGTCATTGCTCATAACTTACAAGTTCCACTTCTTGGTCCCTGTTACAAATAGACAACCTGAGGGATTTGCATTTCACTTCTTGGAAAATAAAGTGCAATTAAACCTGTATTTTTTTGCTTGCATGGGCTTTACTTTAGTCTGGCTTCATCTCTCACTTGGAAAGTGACTTAAATCAGGAATAATCTGATCTAGGAATCTTCTGGGCATGTTCTTGCTACTGAGCCCCTCTCCTGAGGCAGGAGAGAAGGTCTCCTGTGCTGTGACCGTGGCTCCTCGGGCTCTCACCTTGGACAGTGTCAGTGCGAGCAGCTGAAGCACCAAAGAACCGTGGTGGTCACAGGGGTCACTCTCCTGGCTCTCCTCAGGCTTTAGGGAAGGGGGACTTTGGGAATCTCACAGGGGTTGGCAGCAGCTCCAGCTCCCCTCCAAGCTGTTCTGGAGCTGCAGGAAGGTGCAGCCCTGGGCAGGGACTGGGGTGCTGGAGCCGAGATTGAAACTTGGCCCTCTCACAGCAGGTAACAGAACCCCTTCCCCACCCTGCCATCTCCCCCTGCCTCAGCCTGGAGCTCCCGGGTTTTTTCTGGCTCAGTCTCAGGATCTGAATTAACCATGTTCCCATGTGTGCACCTGCCTTGGGTGCAGGAAGGGTGAGGGTGAGGGAGCTCCTGGAGCCAGCAGGCTCTGGGAGGGATGGACGTGCCAAGGAGGGGATGCTGCTGTCACAGGGGCTGTGAAGGGGCCAGTTCTGATCCTGGGTGCTGAGTTCTGGTGACAGGGAGGGACCTTGCTGAGGATGTGCCCAAGAGGGAGCTGTGGGGGGAAGCTGGGGAAGAGGAGCCCCTTCTCCACAGGTGGGCCTGGTGCTCAGCCCTGCCCTGCCTGTGCTGGATTCACAGAAACACAACGGGACACGGTGCCGGGCCCACGTCTGGCTTTAATGGCTCGAGTCTCTGCGGGGCCCATCCCGGCTCCCTCGTCCCTCTGCAGGCTCTGTGCCCACAGGAAAGGGCTCTTAGTTGCCTTGGAACAGCTTTCCCCCCAGGGAAGCACTGCAGGACCCTTCCCGTTCCCTCTCACCCCGTTCCCGATGCCTGATGGACTGAGGTGCATCCCGGGGGGATTTTCCACCGGGAAGTGAGCGTGGCCCCTGCTGCGACTCCCGCCGAGCTGCTGCCGTGGGGTCCGGAGGGGCCGGGAATGTCAGGAATGGAACACGAGCACGGCCAGACCCCGGGGGGGGGAAGGAAAGAGCTGCAGCAAGTTAATTTTTAAAGAGTCTGATGCCCCCGGGGCTCGTGTGCGGGGCAGCCGAGCGTCCTGCGGGCCCCCGAGTGCCCGGGCCGGATCCAGGGGGTGCCGCGTCCCGGGGTATCCACGGGCTGAGCCGTCCCTGCCCCGCCGCTGGGTCCATCACCGGGGCTGGGTGGGGTGGGATGGGAGCCCCCCCCTCCGCCATCCGGACCTACTTGAGGAAGACGAGCAGGAAGAAGGTGGAGACGATGAGCACGAGGATGCCGGCGGCGAAGCCGAGCCGCAGGTTCTCCATGGAGGCGAGCGGGGGCTGCGTGTCCAGCAGGACCCCCCGGCCCAGCAGCCCCAGCACGAAGCCGCCCGGGGCCTCGGAGCCGCGGCGGGGCCCGCAGGGGGACACGGAGCCGCTCACGGCGAAGACGGGCCCGTGGGACGGGCACATCACCTCCAGGGCCACGGGCCGCCCCGAGCCTCGCCCGGAGCCGGCGGGGGCACCGCCGCCTTCCTCCACATCCTCCTCCTCCCCGCGAGGGGTCCCCGAGGCCGGGGGTGCCCCGGGGGCACCGGGGGGCACCTCGGGCAGCAGCGTCACCATCCTGCAGAAGGGGCAGCTGACGAAGGCCACGGAGGCAGCACGACAGACCAGCCTGCGCAGGCAGCGCCGGCACAGCGAGTGCCGGCAGGGCAGCTCCTGGGGGGGCCCCCCGGACCCCCAATACGCCTCGTAGCAGATCCCGCACTCCCTGGCGGCCTCCGGGCCCGCTGCCATGGCTCTGAGGGCACACGGGGAACAGGGGCACGGCCGTGTCCTTTTGAAGGCGGGGGCGGGCGGTGGCGGTGCCCAGGGTGGGGTGAGGGGGCCAGAACCACCTCCCGAACTCCAGCCCCGGGGCCCGGCGGGCACTGGAGCGGCACAGCGGGAACGCTCCTCCTCCACTGCCCCCAAACCCTGCTCTTCTCTGCCTTTTCCATTCCCAAATCCATTGTATTCTCAACGTTCCCCAAGCACCATTTCTGTCATCGTTATTTTGCTGCAGGACGGGGTCAGCCGTGGGCACAACAGCCCCGTCTTGCACCCATTTCACACTCCCCCGGACAGCGACCGGCACGGCCCCCGCGGGGCTCCGGAGCCCTCCGAGGGCAGGGGATGGTTGTGCTGAGCACAGGGGGCTGCACAGCTGGGGCTGGATGAGGGCAAAGCGTGAGGATGCTTTTTTTTAAATTTTTTTTTCCTGCAATCTCTGAAAACGCCCGAGCCCCGCCTGGGGTGACGCGGGGCATCACCGCGCGGCAGTGCCCGGGCTCCCGCGGGATGCTCCAGCTCGTCTGTTCCCATCCACGGCTGACCGGGGTTGGCCCTGCGTGCGGCTGGGGACTCGTGGTGGCCCTGGGGACTCGTGGTTTCCCTGGGGACGAAGGGCAGCCCGGGCACTGCCGGCGCGCCGGGAAGTGCTGGCGCTGGCACCTATTTACGGGCAGGCAGCGGACCTTGTCCTGAGCTCCTGACGCTCATTATCACCCCCAGCAGGGCCCGGGGGCACGAAGGCGGTCACGGGCTGGGGCGGAGGGGGCGGTGGGAAGAGGGGGTGGCGTTGCAGCATCGCTGCTGCCGAGCAGGTCTCGGCTCTCCCCCGCCTCCATCCGGACTCGTGGAGCTCCCCGTGCGGTCCCTGCGGGGACGGGGCTCTGCAGAGGGTGGCTGGGACCCACCACCCTCCCACTGCCTCGCCGTGTCTCATTCCTGGGCCAGTCTGACTCCTTCCCCCTCCCCGATCCCGGGGAATGCTGAGCACCCCTCTGCCCACACACGGCCAGGTGAGGGGGCACGGGGAGGGATGCAGGTGGGTGATCCCTTCCTAAACCCCTCCTGCCCTCATTCGAGCACCCCAGTGCTCCCCTCCTGCCCCCCAAGCACCAGCTGCTCCCGCTGTGTCCCCTGGCCCGGCCCCCTGGATGTGCAGCCACAGCTCAGCCTCAAGACAGAGGCTGGAAATGTCCCCAGGATGTCCCCAAGGGGCTCAGCCAGGGCCACACAGACCCGGCCCTGCTGCTGTGGCACATCCCCAGGACAGCACAGAACACCTAGTGCTGGGCACTGCCCACCCACCACCTCTCCACGAGGCCACACACATGAGGTGACCCCAGCACAGGGTCCAAGGTCTCCCAGTGCCTGGACATCCCTGGGGCAGCTCTGCAGTGAGAAACTCCCTTGGAGAGAAGTCCAAGATCCTCCCAGTCTGACACAGAGAGGAGGAGGGGTAGGTGACACCTGGACAGCTGAGCACGTGGCAGCTTCACCCCTATTCCAGAGCCCCTGGATTTCAGCCATCCCCCCCTCCAGAAGGAAAAAGGCAGCAAACACCCACCAGCAGAAACCAGCTGCAGTTTAATGGCTGCTCTGGGGGAAGGGCTGAGGTGGGACTGGAATCATGGCAGCATTTTTATACTTCAGGGTCAGGAGCCGACGCACAGATGGGGATTGGTGCCTACTGATGGTGATGGAGAACTCCCCACACCCATAGAGAGGAAACGTGGATCTGTGCTGGGAGCAGCCCCAGCCCCCTGCTCACCACCAGATCGGTGCTGTCAGGTGACAGAGACACTTTCTGCTCTAACATGATTTTTGGATGAGGGACCTCCCTGGGCCCCTCTGGCCAGAGCAGGTCCCTCTAGTCTTGGGGCTGTTCCAGACTCTCCCCTCCCACAGGAACCAGGGGTCAGGGAGCTGTGGCTGCAGCCCCAGACACGCTCCTGGAGGTCTCCAGAGCAGAACCTTTGGCATGGCAGAGGTACAAGGCACTGTCAGCACCCAGCACACAGCACAGCCCGACAGAGTCCTCCCACGGGGGATTCCCCACCTCCAGGAAACACTGACGGTGTCCCTGCTGAGCCAGGGGCCTTTCTGGAGGCAAATCCCTGCCAGAGAGGAGGGGCACCCATTTCCATCCCCCAGCGCTCCCGGGCAGGAGGAGGAGGGGATTCATCCAAAGGAGCCCGAGGTGGATGCTGAGAAGCCATCGGGGAACACGGAGGATGCTCAGACTCCTGGAGCACGGGGAGGGCAGTGCTGGGCATGCTGGGCAGGGGCTGTGTGACACTGGCACGGAGCAGCAGGGGGATCACCCCGGGAAGGCGCTCCCGGCCCAGCCTACCCGCTGTGGAAGATGCGGACGCGCTGAGCGATGTCCTGGCGGCACAGGGGACACGAGAGCAGCCGCTCGCAGCAGCTCTGGCAGCAGCAGACGTGGCCACAGGGCAGGAAAATCATCTGGGGCTGCGGGAAGAGATGCAGGAGAGGATATGGAGAGGGCTGCTGGCCCCTATCCCAGCCCAGGGAGCTGGGGATGGCCCCGGGTGTCAGTGTGGGAGGCGGAGCCCCACAAGCCCAGCTCAGCCCCGGGCTGTGCCGAGCGGGAGTGACAGGACACGGGGAAGGACACGGGGCAGGGGTGAAGTGCCCAGCCCCATGAACACTTCCCACAGCTGCTGGATGGACAGACAGCTCAGGAGCTCAGCGAGGTCCTGCCCAAGCCTGCACAGAGCCCTTCCTCTCTCCCTCCCTCCCTGCTGCAATGCCCGGGAGCTGGAGGGATGAGCCCCCAGGCATTGCCCCGGGCACACAGAGCCAGGGGATGTGCCGGATGCTGCCCTCACCCCACCCCTGCTCCAGCCCCAGCTGTGTCCCAGGGTCTCACCTCCTGCTCCATGCACACAACGCACTCCGACTTCCTCTCCTCCCACTGCAGCGGGGGGGCCGTGGGGCCCTCGGGGCTCGGGGGCTCCTCCAGGGGAGCACTGGGCTCTGGGCCTGCAGGGACCTCGGTGTCCACCCCCCTCTGCAGCTCTGCAACCACAAACAGGAGGTCTGAGCACCTGGAGAGCTGCCCATGCCCACCCAGCACACGTGGGGAGGGCTGCAAGCACAGGGGGCCAAGAAATCAGGAACTCGGAGCAGCTCGACAGCACAGCCCTCCCTGCCCCCCTCCTCACACAGCAGCCCTGCACAGCTCCACTCCCATCCGACCCACAGACCTCTCAGGTACCTGCTGTGAGTGTAAAACATGTCAGACACAGGGAGAAGAGAACTGGGGGTACCTGGGATGGTCTTGGCCACAGCCAGGATCTCCTGAGCCCTCTTGAGGATGGCACGCTGCAGGCCAGCCTCCACCACACCGAGCTGTGGGGCAAGAGCAGGCTGTTAACTCCACAGGGGACAGGGGGCTGATGGCCCTAAGGGGACACTGCAAACTCTGGGGCCTCGCTGACAAGACCCGGCCATGCCAGAAGAAGCCCCTCCACCAGGCACCAAAGCCAGACAAGGGAACTCCCCGGTGCCATTTCTACTTTAAGAGCATCTGAAGGATGTTTGAGGATGCAGGCAGGCTGCAGCTCACCCTGCACGTCCCTGGGACAGCCAGGGCTCACAGGGCCAGGCCCAGAGCAGTGGGGGCACCTCGCCCTGCTGGGGGTGACACCCCAGAGCACCAACCCTGGTCCTGCCAGCCCTGCATGGCACAGGGGGCTCCAGGCAAGGGCAGGGTCAGTCTGTGGTGGTGCTGTTGTTGTTGTCCCACACTGTGGATCTGCTGGCTCATACCTTTTCCAGGTCAGTGGCAGTCATGGTGCCAAGAGCCTCCAAGGACAGGCGGTGGTGCGCGAACACGGGCACGTACTGCTCAGCACAGAGCTCCAGCAGCAGGGCCACCAGCTGCTGCTCCAGACCCTGCTCCTGCAAAACACAGCAGTGTGCTCATCCCTGCCCTGCTCCAGGCATTCAGCACCCCCAACACAGAGAGCCTGAAAGCCCAACAGCTGGAGCAGCTCCGGCCCCAGGGGTTTCATGAGCACAATTCAAAACGCTGCGGTCTGGGAGTCACAGAACACCCAGAGCTGGAAGGGACCCACAGGGACCATCCAGTCCAGCTCCTGGCCCTGCACAGACACCCCAACAATCCCACCCTGTCCCTCAGAGCCTTGTCCAAACCCTCCTGGAGCTCTGGCAGCCTTGGGGCTGTGCCCACTGCCCTGGGGAGCCTGGTCAGTGCCCAACCACCCTCTGGGGGAAGAACCTTTCCCTGAGATCCAACCTGACCCTGTCCTGGCACAGCTCCAGCCATTCCCTCAGGTCCTGTCAGTGGTCACAGAGAGCAGAGCTCAGAGCTGCCCCTCCTGAGGAAGCTGCAGACCATGGTGAGTCTCCCCTCATGAACCAAAGCACCACTCTGGCAGCCAATGTCTGCAGCAGCACCTGCTTTGCCAGCTCTGCACAGGCAGAGCTCAGATCCATCTCCCTGTGCCCACCCTGGGGGTGTCACCAGCACAAAGTCCTGGCTCAGGCCATAAGGGCAGGAGTGGGCAGGAGTTGCCACATGCAGATGGATCTGCAGGGAAATTTGGGGAGCCAAGCAGAGCCATTTGAGTGTTCAGCTGGAACAAGAGGCCCTGCCTGGAGGCTACTCAGAGTCCTCTGCTGCTGGCCAGCAGTCTGAGGGTGGGACAGCAGCTCCTGCTGGGAACACTGAGCTGTTGGCTCTGTACAGAGCTGGGCAGCCCCATCCCCTCCACGGGCAGGAATGAGGGAGCTCAGAGCCCCAGGGGCAGCCTGGGGGCTGTGTGAGGGGTCTGGGCCCTGCTCCCAGGGAGACATGTGGGCTCAGGGGCTGCCCTTGCTCCCCCCTCAGTTCAGAGAGAGCACAACCACAGTGGGAGCAGTGACAGCAGCAGCACCTGGAGTTTCAGGGAGAGGGGCTTCTGGTTCAGCAGGCGCTGGTACTGGATCAGCCAGTAGTTCTCCTGTCTGGTTTCACTCTTTGCCTCCATTTCCAGCTGAAAAACAAATTCATTCATTCAACAGCCCGAGGGAACATGGCCAGGGGGGTTTAGGGAAGCTGGATGTGCAGGAGGGGAACCCACAGCCTGGGCTGTGCAGGGCCCAGCCAGAGCCCTGTGAGGGGAAATGGGCACTTCTGGCCTTCTGCAGGCTGGTCCCACTTTGATCCCCCCACTCCCTTTGCCCCAGACACTGGGCTCCCAAAGCTCAGGAGAGTCCGGTGTCTGCAGGACTGCAGGAACACAGGCAGGGAGGGCCCTTGTGGGACTGTGCTCATTCCCCTGACAGCAACCTTTCCTGGCAGGGGACACTGATGATAATGGTGCCCCATGCTGCACCAGGCAGTGGTGCTGTGCCCCCCAAAACTCACATTAGAATTTTATGGAGTTAAATTGGCCTCTGGATCTGGACACAGCCTGCAGAGCCCTGCTCTGCTCCTCTTTACTCCCACCCTGCTCTGCTCCCCTTTACTCCCACACTGACCCAGGGACTCTTCCTGCAGCCAACCCAAACACCTCCTCATCTACAGCACCTAACCAGGGTCTTCCTCACCAGGATTTGTTGCAGTTCTTCCTCCCTCTGCTTCTTCTCCTTGAGCAGCTGTTCCAGCAGGCAGCCGAGTGCCTGGCGCTGCTCCGCCACCGCCTCCTGCAACGGGAGGGCTCTGGCACCCACATGTCCCACCACGGGGCTGCCACCCTGCCCCTGCCCAGCACAGCACTTACCAGGCCCAAACCAGGCACTGTGGGTGTGGAATCCCCGTGCTCCACAGCCTGGATCCTCTCCCAGCAGCTGGCACGGCAGAGCTGAGCTGAGCCCCTTCCCCTCAGTCCTGCACTGCCCCATACCCAGCAGTGCCACCCCCAGCACAGCCTGGGCAGCCCCAGCCCACAGCAGCTGCAGCAGCTCCAAATCACTCCATCAGAAGTTCAGCCAAAGGCATTGCAAGTGTTCATAGTCCCACTGCCTGGAATCATGGAATCCCAGACTGGTTTGTGTTGGAAAGGACCTTAAAGCTCATCTTGTTCCACCCCCTGCCACAGGCAGGGACACCTTCCACCAAACCAGGTTGCTCCCAGCCCAGTCCAACCTGTCCTGGTCTGAGAAAGACCACCTGAAAGTAGGTCTAGAAGCCTGCAGGTAAGGACAGGTAAGGTGGGAACCTCCCCATGCCTTTGGGGAGCTTCCTTTTTCTGGGGTCTCACCCCAAGCACCGCCAGGTCCCAGGGCCAGGTCAGGCATCCCTGGAGCCACACCCTGGCAATGGAGAGGTTGGTGGGCTTGGGAATGTCCAACCATGGGGCACCTCTGCATGGCTCAGTCCCAGCTCACTCACACCTGCCAGGAGGATCATTCCCAGTGCTCATCAGCCACAAGGACTCAGATGTCCATGGACAGAGGGACAAGGATAGAAACTGAAATTTGGGGAAACTTTCATGGATCATAGAATCCTGGAATGGTTTGGTTGGAAGGGACCTTAAAGCTCATTCGTTCCACCCCTGCCATGGGCAGGGACACCTTCCACTAGACCAGGTTGCTCCAAGCCCCGTCCAGCTGGGATCAGCACCTGGACCCTGCACAGGGACAAGATCCTGTTGGACAGAGGAACACCTGCCTGTCACAGGCCAAACCCACCACCAGGTGACCAGAAACACTTTGCCCTCATGGAGGCAGGAGGCATCAGGACCTCCACAGAGGGGAGAAGGACAACTGGTGACCAGTGGGAGCTGCTCCAGTCCCTTCATCCTTGGGGTGCCCTCCCTGCTCACGGCACTGCGGAGACCGGCCAGAATCATTCCCACAGACCTGTGCCAGCCCTTCCCCAGGATGTCTCTGTTCTTCTCAAAGATCTATCAAGGTCATTACTAAAGCACCTGTATCCTGGGGTGAAGCACCCGGTTCTGCACCTGGCTGCAGAAAAGCTTCTGCCAAAGCACTTCTGAGCACTGCCTATGCCCTGGGAGATCAACCCCAGCAGGGCCCCTTTGGCTGCAGACCCCCAAGGGCAGGGGGATCCAGAGAGATCCAGGTGTCCAGGCCTCAGTTCTTGGCTCCCAGTGCTGAAGCTGCAGGTGGGTACCTGGGCAGAGCTGTTTCCTGCAGCTCCTGTGTTCACCAGAGTCACACAACCCTGGTGTCACCTGAATTACACCTGCCTGGGCCTCCCTGGTCTGCCCTGCATGAACTCTGGGTGGTCCTTCACCCTGTGCCCCCCAACACCACAGAGGAGCTCTGTGAGGTCAGGCAGCACAACCCAAATCTTACCCCTGAAGGGTCCAGCACCGGGTTCAGGGGCAATCCTGCCTCGGGTCAGCACTTCCCACTGCTGTGTGCCCTGCTCTGGGAAAGGACATGGCCTTGGGACTGACTTGGGGCTGACTGAACAGGTGACCTGACCTGGCACAGGGCACACAGAAGGAAACAAGTGATGCAAAGGCATCATAGCAAAATTTAAAGCCAAGCTGCTTAAGCTAAACCCGACATTCCTCAGTGTGTGACTGCTGATGGAGGCAGCCCATCAAATGGTGGGATGGTGGGGCAGAGCCCTGGAGAAAAGGCTTAGGAATGAAGGGGGGAGCTGGAGCTATCACTGGCAGGTATTTAAAACCAAAACACAGCACAATGTAAGAAGAGGTGATGCACAGCAGGCAGGTGTTCTGGGGACAGCCAACAACTGGATCACACACTCCTTCCCCACCCAGCACACCTGGAACTGCCCATCCCTGTCAGGCCTCCTCTGTCTCTCCCCTGGAAAAGCACTGGGATGTTTGGGAGCAGAAGCAATGTCCCCACAGCACAAAGAGGGGTTGGTGGTGTCCTGGGGGGAAGGACCTTCTGACTAAGCACAAAACCACCTGGAAGCTGCAAGGAGCAAAGGAAGCAGTGGAGCTGTGGCAATCCCAGAGCAGAGGGTGGGGGGCAGCCCCAGAGCCCCACGTACCTGCAGCGTCTCTGTGTCCAGTTCTTGCCTCTTTAACTCCAGCTGTGTCAGCTGCAATAACTCTGTTTCTATTAATTTAATCTAAACAGAAGATGAAACATTTTTTACTGACATTTGAAATTACTTTAATTTATGCTCTTGTAAAATGAGGTCTGACTGGTGCCCTGGCAGGGGTGGCACTGCAGAGGTTGGGGGGAGCTGCTCATGCTCCTCAGTGATGTGTGTGCTCAGGGTCACTCTTCCTTTGCCTGAGGAGCTGTGTCCCCCACTCTCTAATTGTCTCTCTACTCTAAACACCTTCTGTTCAAGTCTAGAACCAGTTTGTGCATCCAAACCTTTGCAGCCACTCTGGAAGGCAGAGTCAAAGCCCTGCCAGCACCACAGCTCAAACTGCAGATTCCTGGGGCAAGGCCCTGTTTCCAGATGCTCCAGCAATCCCATAATGATACCTGCTCTTCCAGGAGGGACAATTGGGACACAGAGAGGTGGAGTGAGTTGCCCAAGATCCCAGAGCAAAGCCAAGATGAGAGCCCAGCTCACCCATCTGCCAGGCCATCGACTGTCCCCAGGCCACCAACGCCTGCCACCGACCACGGAGCTCCCTGACCCTGGGGCTCTGCCCCTTCCCTGCCCCTGCAGCACCTCCAGGGTGGGCTGGCTCCAAGGGTGAAAGGTTCCTTGCTATCAAGGAACAAATCTCCTTTATCTACAGAGCAAGTGGGATCAAACTGCAGGGCTCTTGTGGGTGAACTCAGGTGAGGATGGAGAGTTTTCCCTCGTCTCCTGGGTGGTCTGTGCACAGTTCATGGGCTTCCAGCAGAGACTGGTCACTGGGTGACTAAAAATATCCAAGCTCTTAAGATTATCCACCAAATCTTGACTTGAGACTTCTCTGCTAGTGTCTGATGAGGAGAGGGAAGATTCTGGAGCACTGTGTCAGAAACCAGCAACCCACCTTCCTGCATCATCCACTGCTACCTTCCCACC